ATGTAAAAATGTGTGTGGAGTGATGTGATCATAAGCTACAGAGTGCTGCACCAACATCATAAACACAGAAAAGTTTGGGATCCAGCTGCTTCGTATAAAAGAAAAGAGCTGCTTTAAAGGAATAATCCAAGTTACTGTATTTGCTACAGATTTTTTAAATGAAATATAAAACTTATTATGTAAAGAAGAACACAGATGTACATTCTAACAGAATAAGGCCAGTTTTCTGTTCTCTGCGTCTCATTTTGTATTTCTTCTCATTTCAGGTGATGCCTGAGTGACTTCTCTCCGTCGTCATAGACACGGACTCATCGCTACACTGATGCTTTCAAGTTGGGACATCGACGTTGTTATTTACATACAGTCTAACTAAGTGGTTGAAACAGGGTCTGTGATGCATTTAGGTTTATTCAAGGATTTCGTTTTTTTTTTCAGTAACTGAGATTTATGTTCTATAAAATGTGTCAACGTGTGTGAAGACGTTTCAAAGCAGTTCCTCTGTGATAATATTAGCTGCGGTTTGATTGTAAATAATTGTTTTGTGTTGTGTCTGTTACTGTGTTGTGAAGGCTCAAGCTGATTGTGTATTTGTGCCAATGCTGATATAAATATTGTAAAATTAAAAGGCTTCTGTAGTATATGGTGAGACTCAAACGTTTCAAATTTCTAGTTCAACCTAACACACAGTGTCATAAAAGTACTTTCTCGCTCTTTTTGCTCCTCTTTAAATCTACATATCTATGGCTAATTATGCTGTGGTTTTTTTAATGCAATATATCCTGATTTACATCCTGTGTAACTCCCCCGTATATATCTGAGCATGGTTTTGCGTCTGTTGTGATAGTTTTGATTTAAATAGCAGTGACATCACGCGTCAGGTGATTCCATTACCGGAGACACATTCTAATTGACTCCCCCTTCATATTCACATCAAATTTAAGTTTTAGATCCAAGCAGCAGCTCTACTCTGTCTTTTTTCATCACTTAGCCATTGTATAGAAATTATTTTTTATCTTTTGATGACATTTTAAAATTAAAAATAGAACAATTGTAGCAAATGGCTTGTAATGTAAATACATTGGGCCAAAAGTCAAGTAATTTAAGAGGCTTGATCACCTTGATTGATAACCAGCTTGATTTGTTGACATGCTTGTTGAGTGGGTTTTACATTTGAACTTATCGGTAAATGATAGTTGTTTTCATATCAACTCTGTGCCATATTCCATTTTTCCATTGGACTTGTTTCCACCTATGCTATGTTGTATTGAGCGTTAGGTATGTTGGAGAAAAAATGACTGAAGTGAAATAAGACCTGTTTCAATAAAACATGCTTTATTGATGCAAGGTAGAAATATGTGTCTTTTTTTTTGCAATTTTAACCATTTGTCAGCAGCAATTTTAAAACTTTTTTTTTTAAACACAAGGCATAATGTTAATACTCTGGTTGTATAATACAGTAAAAAAAAGTTAATCATTATTCCAAGAATAAGGTTATGTTTTTCATGACTTGTCAAAGCATCTCATTTAAACTCTCATGTAAATACACACCCTGAAAACCACAAACACTCTCACACACATAATATAAACACTCGCTCCAGACTGAGGCAAAGTAAAGCAGGGTTCGAACATGTATGGCACAAGTTTCCCCTAAGAAACTGAATAAACACATCGATTAGGCAGGACACTTGACTCCACTGATGCCTTACACACAAACAGTTTGTATTCAAGTTTACCAACAGGAGGCGTCCCAGTGTGCTTTCAAATCAAACCACTAACTTATCTCTGACGCCTTAGCAGGTCACACATAAACATAAACGGTTATTGCATTATCGAAGGGCCACACACAGGTGGCCAATTCAGCTAAAATCTCAAAAGGATCAAATAATATTCCATCAAATAAGATTAAAACCAAGTCAAAATGATTGCCTAACATTCTGAGATACTGTATTTACAAAAATAACCTCACTATTTCTGCAGTGGTACTTCTCTGTGTATAAAAGGTCCGATCAGTGTGCACTCAGTCGGTTCTATTCAACTCAACCCAAGTCTAATGTTTATAGTTTCATATTGTCTCGTATTGTGTAGCACATGATGTTCTGTACGACGCAGTATCAGGGTCATGTTGAAAAAAACGAATTCAGAAAAAAAAATAATCATAATATTAATAGAATAGTCGTGTTGTAAAATTACAAGAAAAAAGTAGCAATTTCACAAAAATAAAATCACATATTACAAGAGTAAAGTCGTAAAATC